GGCCCAGCACCCCCTTTCCTCCCCCAGACCATCAGAGACCGGGGAGCTGGGCCCCAGGCTGGCTGAGGCGGGGAGAGAACTGGTCACATGCAGAAGTGCCCCGCCTGTCATTTTCACAGACCTGCGGAGTTGAGGGGTTGGCCTGGTGGAATTCAGGGCAGAGAGAGGCGGGCTCAGGATACTTGGGGGGGGGGGTGAAAATGGCAGGGTGCAAACCCACGTGAAAGAGGGCACCTCTGTTACTGATGGGTTTCCCCAGTGTGGCCACATGGGAAACCGTGTTCTCTGTTTGGTACATTTCACTAGAGAACCGAACTGAAATATACATAATCTAAGTGGGACAATAGGAAGAACTTACTGGTGGGGAGGAAACCTGGCGACTGAAGGAGGTATGGTTTCCTCTTTCTGAGGTCTGGTATGTTTAGGACGTCAGAGGGGCATTTACATATAAGACTCCTGATCTACTTGGGAACATCGGGGTAGGAGACAGGAGTAGGAATTGACAAACGGGCGTGTGTGTCCCTCCTGCCTTTGCAGAGATGGGCTAAGAAGAAGCCTGAGTCGTGCTCCCTCCCTTGCCACGTCCCCCTTGTGTGGCTGCACCCTCCCCCCCCCTCCCCCCCCCCCCCCCCGTTCCCACCAACAGAGCTCAGGGTGACAGCTCAGTGCAGTGACCTCAAACCCCCAGACAGAGGAAGTTGCCATTCTCATGTGGTGGGGAGCCGCTCTCATGCACTCCCTGCCATGCTCCCCTCCCCCTCTTCCCCTTCCCACACACCCGGCACCTGCAGGGGTTGGAGTGCCAAGATCCTCTGCGTGCAGGAGGAAGAGGCAGGCATGGAGGGAGGGAGGGGGCCATGGAGGGATTACATGCAGGGAGGTGGGGGAGCACGGAGCGATGACTTCAGGGAGCAGGGAGAGAAAAGGCGGCCAGTCGGACAAGAACCTTCCAGAAAACTGGGCATCTGGAGAGAAAAAAAGCCATGACAAGGAGAGGGAGGTGGTGGGGGGAGAGGAGGGTCCCTCTCTCTACCTTGATCCCGTGGCCAATGTCATCCAGGCAGCCAAAGTTGAGGGGTCTCCTGTAGTAGGGTGTGAGGGAGGGCAGGGTCTCGGGGACGATGACTTTCTGGCCGGGGGGCAGCCGCTGGACAGCGGCCAAGGTGCCAATCTCCCTCCGGGCCACCTTCTCCATATGCATGTTCACCATCTGCGTGACAGGGTTGGCGGTGACTGTTGGGTGGTCTGGCTGTGTCCAGAGTCCTTGCCCCCAGAGGAGTCACTCGGGTGGGGGCGGGGATCATGGGAGGCAGTGAGGCCCTGAGGAAGGTTGAGTTTTGTCCCCAGGGCCACACAGCAATTGGGAAAAGAGTAACGGGGGAGGATGGAGCCACTTCGGAGGAACTTCCTGGTGGAAGAGCATGAGGGTTATTATTAGCCGAGCAGGAACAGGAGGAAAAGAGCACAAGATGGGGATGCTGGGAAGGGCGCTGGGCTGGCGGGGT